ATTTAATTGTGTGCATGACATGATTATTTTATTACTGTAAATCAGTGTATGTCTCAAAACAACTCAGTTTTAAATTATTAATAGTTTTAAGATAACACTAATAAATGTACAATTAATAATAGTTTTTAATAATAGCTACGTCTACTAGTCTTTTGTTCCGAAAAAAGGACGAGCAAGGCTTCTATTGCAGCATCTGACACTACAAAAGATGCTGCAATAGATTTGGCAAAGACAGATCAGTCAATTGGCAAAGTCTTACCTTTAATCATGTTAAATTTGGTTTTAAACTAACTTTTTTGTTTCTGGAATAGATGTTTACAAATTACGTTTTGCTAAAAAATAAAAATTTAGTAATATAACTTGCTCCTAACAAATTTCAACGGTTTTAAGTTAAAGTATAGCCATTAAAAACGTAAATCCTAGGATCATAATGTTTTATTTCGATTAGTTATGTTTAAATAATGTAGAAATGTTTTTCTAAAGCGAATTAAGGTCCAGTTTATAATCGCCCTAATACGTAATACGGAAGTTATTTTAAGACATCTTACATTGTTATCATTTTTTATACGATAAATATCAGAATACAGACTTGATGAAAGTGTAGATTACATTCATTAGAATAAAATTTTTACTCCTCTACTGTCTATGGAACCTATAGACAAATGCAGAGTAATGTATGTGACTGCCAAGTTCGGGGTTGTCATGCCAACTAGCGACCCGTAAGCCTTGAAATTTTACATACCAAAACCTTCCTCATAAATCATTGGTAAAATCTGCAATAAATTCCGTGCAGTAGTTTTGTAGTTTATCGCGAACAGACACACAGACGCGGTGGCTGTCAGACTCTTTTGTAGGCATTATCAAAATTTACAACCTTTGTCTAAAACCCAATCAAATATCTCTCACGTTGACCGCTTTTTCTTCGACTTTGCAAATCCCACTACGAAAAATGTTTCATATTTCGGGTGAATACATAGCGTGTTCAATTTACTTTTATGTCGTGTCTCAGATCGGTACTAGGGCTTTGCCCAACCTAAGGTGCGTTCAAATGGACCCAATGACTTTCCGTTCTACGCATTGAACACTTGTACGGTGATGAAAAACATCGTGAGGAAATCGGCATCCCTTACTTTTTCTTTTACACTGGCTTACTTTGCAAATCCCTCCACAAAAAAGTCATTTTCGAGATAATATATCACATGAGAAGATTCACTATTGTCCGTGTCCCTCAGAGCGGTAGGGCTTTGCTCAACCTAAGGTGACATGAATTTTCGTTCTACGCATTCAAGACTGGCTCAAACGGTGATGGATTTTGAGAAAACCGGTCTCGGTTCCAATGCTAAAGTCAGGCAAAGAAGGCTAGACCTACTTGTCTAGAATAAAAATTGTCTTTTCACTGAGACATTATGAAACAATACGGTCTACCCTAACTTTAGACTAATAAATTTAATTCTGTCCAAAAACACTACTGACATCTATTAAGGGGAAGACACTCTTTTCTTGTGTACTTACCACTGTTTAGCACTTAAGACTAACGTGCATAAACAGCTTGCCAGTGGACTGTAAAATGTGTTTAAATTTATAAGTAGTAGTAGTAATTTGAATATATCTCAAAGTTGCGAGGTCTCCTTCAAGTCCTTAACTATCGTAGTCAGACTTCCCGATAGCTTCGAGACAAACGCACCACGTTGAACTATTGATCCTACGCGTAGGGCTCCGTCTGTTACCTTAGATCTCTTGGTTCAGACATTCCGTAGTTATTTATGTATTCATGCGTTCATCTTTAGGGCTTAGGGACCCGTAGGGTTGTTAGGTTCTTAGGTTTCACCCTCTCATATATTTAGTTATCTAGTGCAGCTTGCACAAATTCACTACATATACTCCTGACATATATAACAATAAATTTAAACACACATTTCACAGTCCACTGGCTGGCAAGCTGTATAGTGCACTAAGACTAATTCAAATGGTTTTATCCTGTTCAATCTTCTTACGTCCTCCTGGGGCTCAACAACGTTTATGTGTAAAGAAAACACTTTTTTATAGAATTTAAGTTATGTATTATTATAAATTTACAATTATTTTACATAATTTTAAATTTTATACTATGATTTTTTTTAATTTTAACCTATACGTGTTGCAACGCCACTGGTATTCTTGTGTACTTTTAATACATTATCTGTTCACTGAGACATGGAACATAAGAATAAAGCCTAACTTAAGACTAATAAGTAATATAAGTCTAAGATATTTATGTTAAGGATATGTAATATAAGTGTCCATAAAGACCACTTACATCTATTTAGGGGAAGACACTCTGTTCTTGTGTTCTATTCACTCACCACTGTTTAGCACTTAAGACTTACGTGCACTAACACTAATCCAAATGATTTTGTCCTTACGTTTCCTCTTTAGGGGGATTTTTAAAAATCCTAATAATATTTGTGATACCTTCATTGGGAGATTAAGGAATGCTCTGCATAGTTTTCAAGATTCTGGGAATAATTTTTTCATCTACCTTCATTAAGGTATACATCCATTGAGTACATTTTAGTGAATGGGGTTTTTTGTGGGCAACACTTGACGAAATCGCTGTGAAATTAGTTGGCCCGATGGTTGTGTGGTGCGAGTAATAGCGTGGAAACGTATGTTTATTAAAGCGTTTGTATATTTTTATAAATTAAATTATACATAATGTGTATGTTTTTAGTCAAAAAGTTTTAAAGGCTGCTTGCTGCTGCTTTCAATTGCATAAATCAACTTGGAGCAAAATTTAATGTATTTGTCATAATAACATGAAGGATTATGTTTGTGTGTGTGTTTGCACTTATTATCGAGGGCACACACTTGTTATAATTTGTATAAATAGTTTCTTTCCTCGTTTCTGTTTTTTATTATGTGTTGTTGGCTTATAAATAAATATAGTATTGACTGTGTACTAATGTAGTAAAAAAAATTAGTTAATTTAATCTAATAAATAAAATTCATAATGTTCGCTCCCATACTCAAAACGGCTCGACCGATTCTTATGAAATTATTTATGCATATTTAGTAAGTCTGAGAATCGGCTACTATCTATGTTTCAAACCCTTAAGTGATAAGGGGTTTTTTGACCCCAGAATTTTTTTTTAATTTTCAGACATTTTTTTTGTTTTTATTTTTACATTATACAACATACAACCCTTAATTTTCATCTACCCTCTACGATCAACCCCTATTTTTTATTATAGTTATTTTTATTGAACTAAAATAATGTTTCTTAGAAATAATATACATGGCAAAACAACGTTTGTCGGGTCAGCTAGTTTTGGTATATAAATTTGCGTTTTAATCGGGAAAAGGTTTTAGTCAGAAATATAAAACGCTATCCCATATAAAATCGCTTATATTCGCCCCACGCCATCACTTTTATTCATCAATACAAAATTCAACTGTTAGTGACTCATCCGTTTGTATGTAAATGGAAAATCATACGGAGATTCACACAAAATAATATTTAATTGAAAAATGTTATTGTTGAAATATTATTCACTACCTATAGTATTTTGTTTCGGTCAGATTTAAAATATTTATTTGACACGGTCAATGTAGCTAAAATACTGAACCGGTTTAAGTGAATTTTGAATACCTTATTTTTCTTAATAACAACACTGACAAGTAGTATATAAGGTAAAGTATACATTGTCAAAGACTCGCATATAACCCATCTTTGCTAGTATTCCCAATCTGAAACCGTTATTCCTTCACCAGGAATCGAACCCAAACCAAATAAAATTATAATGAAAGTTCTTCTAAGCCGCTGACTGACCGGTCATTCTCGACACCACTTTTTGAAGATTTTCCGTTATTTTTTTAATATTTCATGGGTCATACGTGCCTCACCTAAAACCTCGCAAGTGCGTAGCCGGCCTTTTAAGAAAAGGTACGCTCGTTTCTTGAAATTATAATGGCTTTATTTTGTTGTCTTAAGGTATGTTAGGATTTATATAATTCAATATAAAAATCTTCCTTTTACCCTTATCTCCATTAAAAAATATGGTTAAAAATGTATCTGTTTATCATTAATCTATGAAATCGAAGTGAATGTTGAGTGAAAGTTGGATAAAAATAATAATTACGATCACAACAATGTTTACGTAAGATATTCGAACGGATTCAATTAATTTGTTATTTTATTAATTATATCGTATTTTGTTCCATATTCAAAGTTTGAAAGATTTGTTTATAAGCAAACTTCATTTCACCTTACTATAGATTTAATTAGCCTAGATTTTTAGTAGCGACATTAACAGATGGACCATTTTGCTATACCTCATAGAGGCTGTTCGCTATTCCGGAATCAAAACCTACTAAATAAAACAAAACTTTTTTTTTTCTTCAAATCTATCTCTCCATAAAACCCTTCTACAGCGTTCAAGGAATATTTTAAAGAAATACTCGAATTGGTCCAGCCGTCTTCGACTTTTGCGCTTAGCATATTTTGCGATTCATTTTTATTTACGTATAGAAAGGCTGATAAAAAAATCTAGCTACGACCTGTTAAGTCTTTGCCTAAGATGTCTGAATCTGTTGGGTGATACATTTTCTTATTGGCAAGAAGTTGATTAGTCTGCCTGACACACTCTAAGGCTTCCCTATGCTTTCTTTGGTCTCCACAATAATGCGCACATAAGAAAGACCATTGGAGCACAGCCGGGAATCGAACTTACGACCAGGTCGTAAGTTCGATTCAGAAGCTTCTTGGCCATTACTGCTCTTTAGCCTAGTGTACCCTTAACCTACCCATAGTTAGCTACTGTATTATGTTACGAATGTATTAATCTGAAATTTACTAACTAATTCTATAGTTCTTTGATTTCTATATACCGAGGTATGTGGGTACATGTGGCTACAGGCATAGTAAATATCGTCCCTGTATAATTTTTGTGATAAAAATAGTATAAGTGCATGAAAAGGTTCAATAAGGAATTATAATTATAATATAACTTTTGAATTGTAAATTATATGCGGTAAGGTCTCGGTCCCGTTTGACTTTGTAATATACTGCAACTATTATTTCTTTGGATATTAAGTTGTCTGTTGTTATTGTAAGCATTTTTATTGTGCAATCTATCTATTATGTATTTGCTATTATTACCAAACTCACCATCTCCGCTTTGGTTGCTGCTGTGCGCGTGATACTGCTCATCTGAAAAGTCGTACTCTATTTTAGATTAGCACATCTGCTCTCGACACAATTGAGGCTATTATAAATCTAAATAAAAATCTCTCCATAATCTGGTCACAAATGAAAAAAAATTTTTTTTTAATATATTTAGTAAGTGATAAGGGCCTTTTTAAGTATTAAGTTGAAATTATATGCAATCAAAAACATAACTTGAAAAAAAAGACTCGCAACTCAGTTCTTTTAAAAAGATATGAGATCCATGTACCAAATCGGTTTACTAATCAGTCCCTACTGAGAGATCTTCTTTAGTTATTCCGTAATAACCTAACCGAACAACGTTTTAGACTGACCATATCAATATTAAAATTAAATTAAATTAAATTTACAAAGTTTGGTCCCTGTGTCAGTGTACTTTTAATGCTGGCAGGACCGAACTAATAAATTTATTTTAATTTTCTATTTATAAATTTTTCACTATATTAAAAATATTTTATGTATTAAATAAATACATTGGCTATCGCATGAAAACACAATCAATGTATATCACAAGTAATACATATAAATTAGATTATTTAGTGTGATTGATGAAAATTCAAGCTTCTAGTAAATTTTGAATACTGACTTACGGTATACAGTGAACTCACCTCCATTCCTGTGATCCGTGCTCATGAGCTCCTGGCTCTGAATGGGTTGGTGTATTAACACCTTCTGCTGAGGGCTGTGTGGGTCAATGCCCTCCACCTCCAATAGAGGAGCGTGCTCGTAGCCATGAACGACCAAGGGTGCGTGGAGATCCATGGTTGCTAGTGCATTGTCTGGGCTGTTACCGCGAATGCATTATCCTGAAAGTAAATTATTATTAAAAAGGATACTTATTTATTAACACTTTGGTTCAGTGGTACCGAAATACAGTAAAATAAAAATAAAAATAAATCAGTGGCGCTACAACCTCTTTAGGTCTTGGCCTCAGATCTGAATCTGTTTCATGATCATTTTTAAATCTAATAGGCAAGTAGGTGATCAGCTTCCAGTGCCTGACACACGCCGTCGACTTTTTGGGTCTAAGGCAGGTCAGTTTCCTCACGATGTTTTCCTTCACCGTTCGAGCGAATATTAAATTCGCACATAGAAAGAAAGTCCATTGGTGCACAGTGCACACATTGGGGATCGAACCTACGACCTCAGGGATGAGAGTCGCACGCTGAAGCCACTAGGCCAACACTGCTCAAATTAAAATAATTGAATAAAAAGGAGGGCAACTGGCGGCTTTATCACTTTCGATCGATCTCTTCCAGGCAACCACTGTGAGAAAAAAGTAGATAAGGTGAGCGCAATAAGTGCAATAACTTCTATTCTCTTTATAACTAGGCAAGCCCTAATCAAAGATTTAAGTTGGCACCTGGTAAATACCGGTGACCCCAGAGCTGGTGCTTTCTTCGCTCAACGAATAAGTATCGCAATACGAGGAAATGCTGCCATTAAAGATACACTGCCACAGGGACCAAACTTTTAAATTTGTTTTAATGTTCTATTTATCTATTATTAATAATTATTATTATTAATAATATTATTATCTAATAACACACAAATAATACATATTCTTTACATACTAATAATAATAAATAATATATAAAACGTATCAGTTTTAAGCCAAAGCTATTTTAAAAGAGTTTTGTATAGAAATGAGGCGAGGGAATATAAATTTGTTTCCGTTTTGCAAATATTATTCATTTAAACAAATGTCCTGGACTCGTGGCTAGCTCGTCCATTGTTCGCTTTTATATGTAATCTACGAATGAGCGGATATTCGTACAATTTTAATTCATACTAATATAACCACAATATTTAGATTTAATATTTTTAGCATTCTAATAAAAAATGAATAATTAAACTAAAATGATTTTAAAATGTTAGCCCCTACACTGCCAAGTGTATCTTTAACGCTGGCAGCGTTTCCTCTTTTTTTTTCATATTCAATTTCTATTTAAAGAGACGATATGAATAATTTTAAGAATATTTTTAGAAACATTTAAGATTTACTTTATATAAAAAGCGTATCAATTAGCAAAAATATTGATAGAGTATAATATATATATATATATATATATATCTATATATATATATATATATATATATATATACTCGTATAATATAACGTTTTTATCATCATGACCTTCCATTAACAGATTAGACACCGCATCCATACTTTGTAAATCGCCAACCAGCGTTCCTATTGTTCAAAATATTTAAATATTATCTTATTATTTATGTTTTCTACAATTTACACCAACTTTTCTAGGAATCTTCCAAAATGCATTTAAAAACCAGTGGCGCTAAAATTAGGTCTTGACCTCAGATTTCTGTATCTGTTTTGTGATTATTATTTCTTAATAGGCAAGTAGGTGATCAGCCGTATGTGCCTGCCATACGCCGTCGAGGGTAAAGCTTACCGGTTTCCTCACGTTTTCTTTCACCGTAAAAGAAAAATTAAACGTAAAGTAAAAATTTGATGCATTTAGAGAAAAATTCCTTTTGCACAGACGTGATTCGAACCACGACCTGAAAGTTGAGATGTCGCTCAAGCTACTAGGCTCTTTTAAAATAATGTATTAAATCACTATCCCAATAGATAGTCGTAAAGAAAATTTAAATAAATATATATCTACGTATATTACGTCGAAAATGTGATAATAGTAATCAGGTAGCCACATCAAAATGAATGTCCGAATGTGCCGTACACGATAATAAAAGAGTCAAGATACATAGAGAGTATGTTTGTCTGTTCGTGACTCAAAACCAATTCTTGTAATTCTCTTATCTTCATGAGTTAATGAAAATGTTATTTTCATTAATAACGAGTATATCAAAAAGACTTGGGCTATTGTAAAGTCCCACATCAATCATTAAGGGCGCTATCATTTATATATATATCTATCGATATAAATTCATTACAACTCAATTATCTTAAACTCTTTTTAGAAAATTTATAACTAAGGCACTGATCTCGTAAAACACTTATATAGAACAAGTAGCATGGGTAAGTATAGTTAAATATGTTTAGTATTGATTTAGAATATTTTAAACTGCTAAAGCTTGTCTTGGTTCAGCTTCAGCTTCACTCAGCATCGTAGTACAATGAGGAGCTATAGAGACGTAGAAATGAATAGATCAGTAGGAGAACCAAAGTCACTGACATAGTAAAAAGGACCTGCTCTTAATAGGCAATGGACATACATTACCCAAAGAACGGATAGCCGGGGGAAAAAAGTCCTGGAACCGAAACCAAGGACCAGTCAAAGCGTTGGACGTCAAGTCGTCAAGTTGCAAAGCGCGGGGTCCGATACTACTGGAAATTTAGGGCAGAGGCCTATGTCTAGCAGTGGACGTGAACATCCATTCTAATATCGGTAATGATTCGTAAAAACCAAGTTCATTGACAGAAAATTTAAATATCTTCAGATAAATACGCCTTATCGAACGCCTTGTGTAGTCGTTCGCATTGTGTCTATATTCCCATAGCCTTGCGCATCGCGAATGTTTTTGTGTCTTAAAATAGTTATACACGTACGCAGAAAATGAGGGAAACAGGAAAATTTATGTTCCTGTTTTGTCTAAAAGAATTTTAGTGTGTTGTATTTTATAATACATATGTTATTTTTAGGATTTTTTTATCTACTATGTGGCTTAAAAATACATATAGATTATTACCCGAGATCTCGTATAAGCGGGTTTCACTCCGGACGAAACCATCGTTTGGCCTCGTTAGTTGCACATACTCAATGCAATGCACTGAGCATTGTTACCCGTGATTCCACTTGGCTATCATTGGATTTGACTTAAAGTAACCCTTACACCCAAAGATAAAAAAATACCAGAGGCGCTACAACCTCTAAGTCTAGGGCCTCAAGTATCTTATGTGATATTTGTATTCTTAATAGTGATCCATACATGCCGATATTAGGAAGCAACCCGGTTTTCTCTGGATATTTTCCCTATGAGCAATTAAGCTTCTCTTTCGAATTCTTCGCGATTATAACGGATTAAACAGTACTTATCCGGAGCAGGATATATTCGGTAGTGCGGGCTACGGGCTGATCAGTTTTAAAGGAAGTTAAGTGCCTATCTCGTACCTAATCTTGTGTTTTGCTGTTATATTTTTACTTTTCTGCTTAACAAAAAAATCTGTTCTTTTTATTTCATCTTGTATATATTTTAATTGTTTTTTTTTGTGTATGTACGAGCCAAGGCTGTACATTTTGCCCACTCAGGCTTCCTTAGTTTTATAATCGTGATTATTCCCTACGTACGTGCCAAGGCTCGTACATTCCGATCATCTACAAGCATAACAATTTCCTATGTATGTACGTGCCCTGGCTGTACAGTTTGATCACTTATAAGCATGACGATTTCCTAAATCGTCGGAGTCACGCCCCGAGAGTATAGCCCAACGCAGGCACTCTCTTCGACTGTTACAGCAGTCATTCGTATCATTACAATTAACTGTATCATGGGAGTTTCACCCCGGGAGCATAGCCAGACGTCGGCACTCTCTCTGTTCGTTAGATTGCACTTATTATATAGCAATTAACATAATAGTTATTATTTCGCTCATATTCTATTGTATAACGCGAGTGATAAATATAGAGTAAGTTAAAATTATTCTATTATTTCGAACCCCTGATGATCCAGGAACCGTACAGTGTAATATTTATGTTAACCTAAATTGTCATACATTTTAGATTAAAGAGTTTGTAACACAAATAAATAATAAATAAGATTAAAATTCTCAAGTCACCTATCCTAAGAGTCTCCTATAAAACTTCTTTTGTTCTCAATATATAATCTTAAAAAAACCCGTTGACCTGTTATAGTTACTTGGATTAAATTTTATTTCTTGCGTCCTATAGTAAGTAATAAATAATGTATGGGTAACCATCTGATTCATCTTTCACACGTCATTATGTTGTTATGTTTTTGTCTCGTTTGGTGGTAAAATTATCAGAAGGATCTGTTACTTCCTTTTATGGATGGTTCAGTGGTTTTTAGTTTTTACAAACTGTGTCGAGCCAGAAACTAAAACTCTCCTAGGTTTTACTATTTGACGTTTTATTAATTAAACAAAACATGTAACGAAAATGGTTTTAAACATGCATGTACTAGGAATAATTATAATCTTAACCACAACACAGAGGCTCCCTGTAAGAGTTTTATTATTATTATTCGCTATTTGGTAATGGCCAAAGAATGGAATGGCGCGAAGGTAAATCGCACAATGTTAGGTAACCAGATATTAAAAAGAGACAGCTAAGATAATTAAAATACAGAAAAAAAACCGCCAAAAATATATAGAATAAAACAAAAAACGATCACAAATATAAGTTAAAATTATAAATCGCACGCGACCAAATCAACTCTGCAAAGAATGAATTGTAGACTTCAAATTTAAATTTCATGTAAAATTAATTGTTTGTTATTAAAAATAGGCATGGTTGATAGGAGTAAATTGACTGAATATCATTTTTGTGTAGTAAACAAATATTTTACCACCACTGAAAATAGCTTTGGAAATTGTTTATTTACTAAACTAATCTATTATAATAGTCTACTACTAATAATCTTCGTGTGGTAACGTCTAAGACCTAATCAAAGCTGTGAACCACGAGTTCACGAGCACACACCAACCAAAGACGAAACACGGGAGTAAATAATAATCAATTTAAATACAAATTTAAAATTTAGGGCCAAAGAATACATAGATTATACATTATTTGTACCTAATTAAGACAAAAGGATTAATA